CACCAGGTGGCGCGCGGCCACCACTGGGCCTACCAGGGTGTCCGCCTTCTGTGACCACCTCAGGGAAGGACTCTTCGCGGCTGCCGCCCGGGAATCTAAGCCCTACCTGGCCTGCTTGAAGACAAAGGACAAGAGCACTGGTGCTTTGCCCGGCTCTGCTCTGCCAGGTTATGCCACAGCTTCATCACTGGCCGCTCCTTCGCCCTCCCCGCCCTGCCAATCCTATCGTTACTCTGTGTCATTTTTGCTTAATTTTAAGTCCTATCGTTCCTCTGTGTCATTTTTGCTTAATTTTAAGTCCTCATCCTGGCGTTCGTATCCCTGCCTGGTCTGACCCCTTCCCTCACCTGCTACACAGGAGGTTTTACAACACTTCCCTGCACTCGCGAGTGGCTGTACCTTACCAACACTGGTTAACCTGTATTTCATCCTTAAGCTGTGTGGGCCACTGTTCTGAGCGATTTACGTTAACGCTATGTCCTCTAAACCTCATATCTGCTCTGTAGGGTAGCTGCTCCAGTATTGTCCCTATCATACACTGATGAAATCACCCAGGAGTGGTGGAGATTCCAACCCCAATCAGTCAGACACTGGAACCTGAACCCTTGGCGTCTTCAAGGTGGAATGCCGCCGACTTCATCCAACCCACTCCCAAACACCTATTCATCGTTTATGATCCTGTTCAAATATTTCTTCACCTTCCTTAATACCTCCCACTAAGGGACAAATAGATCCCCTCTCTGTTCCCACATGACTCTGTTGAGCTCTCTTTGGACTGTAAGAAATGATCTCTCTGTGATTACTTCCCCGCTACCATTCCTGAGCCACTGAGGCAGGCAGCTCCCCCAAAGACAGGGAGCATTGCTTCTGGAGCTAGCCCCTGTGACTAGGAGAGAGAGCCTGTAGCTTTGGGCAGACGTGGAAGGCAGAGGAGATGGATCCTCTGGGCCATTTCCCTCAGCTCTGAGTTCTAAAATATGTCAGGACTATGTCGCCTTCCCAGGGCCAGAATTTCCCTTTTTATCACAGGCCTCTGGAGGTAGTGAGTTCCCCTTCCCTAGAGATCCAGTCATGGTCTAAGTGGCCGCGCAGAAAACTCCTGCAGCCTACTTTCAGTGGTGGATGAAGATTCTAAGTCAGCTCTCGTGCTTGGGCAGAAGAGTTCAGCCAAACACTCTGCCCCTGGAAACGACTCTTCCTCAAACTCCAGCAGACTACAAGCTCTGTTTTCCCTTGCTTTCAAAAGCCTTCCCAGATCACCCTGGCAAGCCAAATCTCTTTATTCTCACTCTAATCATTGTAACCCCAACTGTTGAGCTCAGGGCCTGCACATAGGAGACACACAATAAATAATTGCTGACTGGGTGAAAGAACGAATAAAAACAGACTTGGCTTTTTTGCTTAATAACCATCTGATCTTGGATGTGGTACTTCTGAGCCTCAATGTCTTGGCTTCTAAGAGGGGAGGGGTAACAATGATAGTTACTACCTGGCAGGAATGTCATGAGAATTAGATGATTGATGCATGCAAAGCAATTAATATAAGATCTTACCTAATAAATGGAACCTATTAATAATGTTTAAAGAGTGGTCCTAAATCCCAGATACCACTTTCTGAAAATGCTTCTGGAAATAGTCAAATACCACAAAACTGAGACAAGCAAAGGAAATGATTCTGTACTGGGACCCCAGCCACTGCCCTAACCATGTAGGTCCTACAAGGTAGGATCCCACTCTAAGTCCAACACCTTCTTTGGGGCCTTTATTCTAATTTCTCTGCATTTCTTCCAACACTCCTGAGAAGTCAGTACTTTCCCCCTAATTTACAAATGAGCAGGCTCAGAAAGATGCAAAAGACTCCCACCACCTGTAGGACTCAAGACAGAAGAGCTGAAAAAGGAAGTATCTAAGGATAAGGGGTATCTGAGGGAAAGTGTCCTGAAGCCAGAGGCAGACAGACAGGACTTGACAGGGGTACGGCTAAGCACAGGGCAATAGGAGCTTCATCCTGGGGCCTTTCAGGGGTGGGGAACCTGCAGCCTTAAGACCACATGTGGCCTTCTAGGTCCTCAAGTGTGGCCTTTTGACTGAACCCAAGTTTTACAAAACAAATCCTTTTATTAAAAAGCGGTGCAGCAGAGAAAGATGAAGCATTTCTTGCCCCCTTTAGTGGTTAAAAAAAACAGTCTTGAAATCAGGAGGCTTCAGTTACCCCAGCCCTGCTTGCCCAAAAGTGCTGCAACTGAGTACACCCTTAGAAGTTCCAAGTGCTATGGGAATGTTGGTTAGGGCTTCTTCTAGTTGGGGCTGGTGATCGGGGAGGCGTTCTGGGTTAAGGAGCACTAAAATAAGATGGGAAAATGAGTAGGAATGAGTCAGATTGGGTGGAGAGAAAGAGTCAGGTGGAAGGAACAGCATGTGCAAAGGTCTCAAGGGCTTAGCACATTTGAGGAACTGACAAGCTATGGTGTCTGGAGCCCACTGATGGAGAGAGGGGCAGGAGAAAAGGGTGAAGAGGCAGCCAGAGGAGATCCTAGGGTAATACGGGCCAGCAGGGGGCAGAGTTCCCCAGGTGACACAGCAGCCTTGCTCTTCCATGGCCTACCTGGAGAGTCAGAACTGGGCTGCACTCAGGAAAAATGGCTGCGGAAGGGACCCCCTGCCTGGTTTCATTTAAGTACATTTTGTCTATTTTTTTATTTTTTATTTTTTTTTTGAGACAGAATCTCACTCTGTTGCCCGGGCTAGAGTGCCGTGGCATCAGCCTAGCTCACAGCAACCTCAAACTCCTGGGCTCAAGTGATCCTCCTGCCTTAGCCTCCCGAGTAGCTGGGACTCCAGGCATGTGCCACCATGCCCGGCTAATTTTTTCTATATGTATTTTTAGTTATCCACAATTAATTTCTTTCTATTTTTAGTAGAGACGGAGTCTCGCTCTTGCTCAGGCTGGTCTCGAACTCCTGAGCTCAAACGATCCACCCGCCTCGGCCTCCCAGAGTGCTAGGATTACAGGCGTGAGCCACCGCGCCTGGCCCTGTCTATTTTTTTTTAATAGAATGGACACCGATTACAAAATCCACAGGATGCAGGAAAGCATTCAATGAAAATTCTCCTTACTCCAATTCCTGCCAACTTGATCCCCTCCTTAAAGATAACCACCATACCAGTGTATTGTGTGTCCTTTCAAGATAGTCTCTACACATAAGAACACACACAATATTTATTTTTTACACCAATCTAGCTCTGGTTTTTACACCTGCCCAGGGGATCTCTAATTATGAAAGAAGCTTATTTGTACTGAATGTCTGCTGCACACATGACTCTTTAATTCAGCTGACAGTTACGGAGCACCAGACCTGGTGCTAGGTCAGTGGTTCTCAAACCTTAAACCTCCTGGAGGGCTTATTAAAACACAGATTGCTGCCCTCCCCCGGCCAAGTTTCTGATTCCATAGGTCTGGGTGGGGCCTGAGAATTTGCATTTGTAACAAGTTCCCAGGTGATGCTGAGGCTATCAGCCCAGGGGCCCCGCTGTGAGAACCACTGAGCTAGCTGCTTATGGGGAGAGACTAGGTATGTATACCGGTGGCCTTATTTCTCTCCACCAGGGAAACCAGGCCCCACACAAGGAAACACACACACCACCGAGAAAGACAGTTCCATTGAACAGTAAGTCCTATGAAGAAAATGAAGTGGGGGAATTCTTGAGGGGGGAAGCCTTGAGAGTAGGGATGAGCAGCAGAGGAGCAACACTTAGGGCACAAGCAAGTGTTCCTTTTTGTGCAGTTGAGGTTTACAAGGTGGTAAACATACACAAGTGGAGCTCTCTTGGGCTCAGGGGAGGGGAACACCTGCAGTGACAGGTGGAGAGGGAAAAGAAGGGGGTCCAGCCACCCCCCCCCCGGCTGCTCAGAGGAGAGGCTGCAAAAGAGGCTGAGGAGGAGGTCCCGGGGAACAGGGAAACCAGGAGAGGAGAGGGTTTGAGAAGGAGGCCTGACCCAGAGCTGATTCAGGGAGGGTGGAGAGGGGCCGCTTTGGACTTGGTTACAGGGGGTCCCAGGGACAGCAACAAGGCATCTGGGTGGAGTGGCAAAGCCAAAGACCCTGGAGTGAGGGGATGGACGGGGAACCAGAGGAGCAAACGACCACAGAGGGTTCTTTCGGAAAGTTTTGCTGCCTAGGGAGCAGAGAAATGAGACACTCCCAGGAGGACGATGGCAGGAAGAGGGTGTTTAGAAGCTAGGAGCACCGGTGTGGTGGCTAACACCTGTAGTCCCAGCACTTTGGGAGGCTGAGGCGGAAGGATCGCTTGAGCCCAGGGGTTCGAGGTTGCTGTGAGCTATGATGGCGCCGCTGCACTCTAGCCTGAGCAACAGAACAAGACCCTGTCTCAAAAAAAAGCAGAAGCTACCGGAGGAGTTTCGTTAGGAGCTAACTGGAGAGCTCCAGGAGGGAGAAATGGAAGGTGGAAGGCACGGGAGAGACGGGCTGATCCGTGAGAAGGCCCCCGGGCAGAAGGCGGTGGCTTCGGGGAGAACAAGGGCTCGACTCCCTTGGAAACGGCCCTCATTTGAACTTCACGACCACTCCAAACTGAGAGCACTATTTTCCTTATTCCTCACAGATGAGGAAACTGAGGCTCAAAGAGGTGAGGGGAGGGACACGCCCAAGGTCCCACTTCTCATAGAACAGGACTGCGGTCAGTCCCGGCCCGCTGCTCCTGCGGGCTCGGGGCAAGACCCTTTTCTGCCAGAGTGCAGGGGTGCCCTTCGGCAGGGCGGCCCACGGCGAGGACCCGCAGAGAGCGGGCGGGGCGGGGCGGGTGCCCCCTCCGCCCTAGCTCCGCCCCCAGCGGCGCCAGGGAGGGCGCGGGGCGGGCGACAGGGGCAGGCGCGGGGCGCTCCGGGCGGGCAGAGCTCGCGGCGGCGGGGAGCTCGCAGTGTGGCCCGCGCTTCCCAGCGTCCGCGCCCGGCCTCCTGTGCCCGCCGTGCCCGTGGCGCCATGGCTGCGGCCGCGCTCCCGCCCCGTCCGCTGGCGCTGCTCCTGCTGCCGCTGCTGCTGCTGCTGCGCGCCGACCCCGTGCGCGCTGACAGTAAGGTACGCGCGTCTGCCACCCGCTGCGGCTCGGCGGGGAGCCGGGCGCGAGGGGGCGCTGTGGCTGGGGGTGGAGGCCAAGAGGGATACCCAGGGCCCCGGCGCGGAGGGCCCAGGAGAGGGGGCGACTGGACCTGGGACTTAGCGCAGAAGCCACAGGGGCCAGGATCCAGGGAGAGGAGCGCGCCGGAGAAGGAGCGCTGGAGATTGGGTGCTTGGGACCCGAAGCCTGAGGAAGGGGTGCTGGGACCCTGTCCGATGCGTGGAGGAGGTCCGCACTGGGCCAGGGAGGGTATGCCCAGGAGCGCTGGGCAGGCTCAGTTTCCATGGGAGGCTGACGACGTGAGGACAAGCCCCTGGGCAACTGTTACCCTGCGACTCCTGGCTTGCGGCAGGCTCTGGGCCAAGGCTTTCAGGCAATGCTGGGGACCCAGAGTCCCCCTGTCCCCACAAGGAACCCAGCTGGGCTGGCCACTCATGTAGCCTCTGATGCTCTCACCAGGGTTCAGGTGCACCCTCTGGAGGACGAGGTATCTCCAGAAGTGACCTGACCTGTTCTCTCCTTTGGTTAAGAGGATCTGCTCTAGTGCCAAGCAGACCTCGGTTCAAATCCCACATTTGCTTCTCAGCTGGTGCCTTCACCTCTGTGAGCCTCCATTTATTCACCAGTGGATATGGGAAGAATAAAAGTACCCACTCCCTGCAGTCAATGATCTCTGGATTCGGTGAGATCATGGCAGTAAAATATTCAACACCACTCCTGGCACCTGGTATGTGCTCAATAAATGATCCTGTGATTATGGAATCTTATCCCAGGGACCCCAAAAGGGGGTGTGAGGTCCGGAATGTAGAGAGAGCAAGCATTTAGCATCAGTCAGAGCATGGACTCCTATAGGGTGTTCTGGAAATGACCCCGTGAGAGAGAGGACGGGAGGGCCCTGCTCACAGAGCATGAGGGCAAAAGAGTGACTTCGCTCAATGTCTCTCTAGCCTCTTTCCTGGTAGAAGGTGAGTGTCCTGCCCATAGCCACACCGTAAGCGTATGAGTAGTGGGTCCTGCAGACTCTCAGCCTGAAGATTCAGTTCGGGGCATGAAAGCACCCATGTGCAGTCCTGACCGTGTACTCCAGAGACAAGGAGGGAATGACTGAGCATTGTTTCCATTTTACAGATGGAGAAACTAGGGTGTTTAGAGAGGCAGCTGGCTTGTAAACCGAAAACCTAGGTTCTGGCCTTCCTCTGCTATTTGTTTGCTGTGTGACCTTGGGCAACTCATTGCCTGTCTCTGGGCTTCAGTTCCGCCATCTGAAAAACAATGTCCCACCAACCTTCTTTCCATACGGTGCCCTCTAAGATTCCTGATCTGGCTCAAGTGAGAGAACAAGTGAGCAGAAAATCCCAGATAACCTGATCAGCGCTTTGTCACCTCTTGTATCTCTGGCTGGGAGGTATATTTGGTCTTGGGCATCCTCTAGGCTGTGCAGAGGGCTGTTAAGCTTGTGGGGGAGGGTTTACATTCAAAACAAAGCAAAGACAAAGAAAACCCAACACCCTGTTTATGTAGTGAGTCAGCCAAACACTTGCTAGGTTTGGGGGGAGGGGTTAGTTGTCCCAGGGCAAGCTGGGGCTGGTGGGGTGGGGAGGCACAACATAGAGTTTGGAGGATGAAGCAGCCAGGGGACTGAGCACGGCCCTCCCCCAGACACCTCCCACCCCTGCACCACTTCAGCCAGCTGGGAAAAATAAAAATCAAGTGATGGGTGAATTTACTCTGCATTCCTTAGCTCAGCCAGACTCCTGCTGGCTCTGCCGAGAGGAGAGAGCTGTTTTCATTATCACCGGCTCCCTCTCCTGTAACAACCCCTCCTTCCTCTCCAAGCCCTTCCTATTTTCCCTGGGGTGAAGGATGAGCCCTTCTGAGGGCCAGCCTGGGACTTAAAGTTGATCTAGGGCCCTGAAGAGTTAAGTTGGCCCCTCCTCAGGCTTCTTGTTCCCGGGAGGTCCAGTCTCCCCTCTGGCCCAATACATTCAGGGGAGCAGAGGCAGCTCACCCCCAGGACTCACTGATCTCCTCAGCCAGCTCCTTGTTCAACATGTTTTCATTCCATGTTTATAGCAAGGTCTCTCCTAAAGTGGATTTTGAGTTTCCATCTAAGGAAGTGCTTTGTCCAGACCAGTAGTAGGAGGGGGACCTCACAGCTTCCCTGGTATTTCTAAAGGCTGCCCAGTGTGGAGGTTGGGATGGAGAGACAGGTAACCACGTGACACCCAGGCATGGCACCAGAGACCTTTGGGAACCTGCTTTTTGCTGTGGGTTCTTGGGATGTGGCTGAGAATTCCCCATCTCTCCCTCGGTTTCCCTGTCTGTGAAAGAGCTGCTGGTACCTCACTCACTCCATGCAGTGAGGGGTAGGAAGAGGGTCTTTGGTCAGCCTGCTGACCAGAGGCCTGAGGACAGAGGGACGGCCAAGACCTGTGGGACCCTGGCCAAGGGAGGAGGAGGGGCTGGAGCAGGCAGGCGGTGGTGTCTGGGGCTGGATCAGATGCTCCCAGTTAGGCTGGTCCCGGGGGCTTAGGTGTTGCTTTGCCTCCACTCAGGGAGTTTCCGCCTGTGGGTGTAATTGGAAACAGGCTTGCAGTAGGCAAGGGCTGCATAGTAATGAAGTCCCACTTCTGCACACCAAGAATGTGAGGCCGGCCCAGGCCCCACCAGGGCTCTCTGCAGGGAAGGGTTGTCCAGCACTCCCTTTGGCTGGAGCACCCAGGACAAAGCCCTGATGAGCATCCTGTGTGCCAAGCACCGTGTCCAACGCTTACATGCAGAATCCTACAGAAGCTTCGTGCCAGTATTCTGAGGCTTCAGTTGTACCTCCCCATTTGACGGACTTGAACACTGAGGCTCAAAACAGTCAGGTTGGGGCTGCCCAAATATGCTAGACAGAGGCAGCCTGAGGAGTTTGGAGGCTCCTTGAGCTCCAGGATTCTCAGCCCTTAGTGGGCATCCAAATGGCTTGGGGAGCCAGAGAGAGCCAGTCATGGCTTGGAGTAGGGCCTGGACATATGCATTTTCCAAGTGTACTCCAGGTCATTCTGAGGCGTGTCCTCCAATCGAGAACTCATGGAAGTGACAGGGAGCTATGGATGTTTGTGGAGCAAGGAGAGTAACAGATCACCAAAGAGGAGCTTTTGGCAGATTAATCTGACAGATAAGAAGCTACTGTATTGTCTAGGCAGCAGTTAAATGTGACCGGAACCAGAGCTGTGGCCATGGAATGGAGAGCAAGGAACAGAAATTGGAGATATTTAGGATAAAGAGGGAGAAGAACATGATGATTGACAGGTTGTCCAGGGTAAGAGGGGAGCTCTGAGATCCAGGTTGGGCAGGAGGGTCGGTGGACACGTGTTTGGGAGAAGATGCTTGGCCAGTCTTGGATGGCTTGAGTTTGGGGTGTCTCCATGCAGCCAGGGGAAGGTGTCCCGCCGGCAGTGTGCTCTAGGCGAGGTCTTTGCCGGCAGGAGATAGTGGAAATTTCCTCATGATGAGGCTGGGCTAGCCGTGAGAGAAGAGGGCAGACCCAACTTCAAGATGACACAATTTGAGCCTGTTCAGTTGCTAGAACATTTCGCAGCTTGAACGCCCTCTTCCCGACTCCAGCCAGATTTATCCATCTCTTCAGAAAAATCCCAAGTACACCCTGGTCTCGTTGTGGGATTTCCTTGCAAATACCCCGGGACATTTTTAAGCACAAACCACCCACATTTCTGGGGGCTTTGACAGGATTGAGTGCTGAGCTGGGCTGCAGGGAGAGAAGGGGGTGCTGAGGCAGGGACTTTCCTGCTTGGCAGCGACCCCAGCCTTCATGCCAAGGGCAGGGCGGGCCAGGCTCAGTGGGATTGCCAAGTCCTGTGCCCCCAAGGGCCCCTTCTCTACAGACCCATCTGCCCCAGCTCAGCTGCTCAGGGAGAAGCCCTTGCCTGGTGACTGTGGGTGGTCATAGGAAGGACAACATGTAAACCAAATTTTGGAATCAGGCTGTGCTGTGTGACCCTGGGCAAACCCCCGTTCTTCTCTGACGCGCAGCTATCTCCTCTCTAAGGTACGGGTGGGGTAACAGCAAACAGAGGTAGGAAACGATGAGCAAATGTGAGGGAGAGCCACTAGCCAGGCTCCATGCCCGGAGCTCTGCGTACATCAACTCTTTTCAGACCCACGACAGGCTTATGAGGAAGGGACTGTTATTCTCCCCATTTTGCAGAGGAGGAAGCTGAGGCTCAGGGGGGTCAGGGCCATGCGGGGAGGAGGCGTGGGAGCTGGCATTTGCCGGGCCTGGCTCTTCACCTGGCACTCTGCTGCCTCCAGTCAAGTGCCACAGCATGTAGCAATCCCAGGGGTAGGACCCTGCCTGGGCTCCTGGCAGCTGGGGATGGGAGCAGAGAGGCCTTCCTCCAACTCCTGGCCCATGTCAGGGCCCTGGCCGCTCCCTTCAGGAGGTAACACCTCATCTGATGGGGGAAGGAATGTCGCAGTCTGATGTGGAGGCCGCTGCTGGCGGGGGTGGGTGCTGGGTGTATGTGTGGGTCCCCAGGAGGAGGGCCTCTCTGGCCTGGCCACACAGAACACACCCACATCTACCTACTGGGCTCTTGACCCCAACTGGGGCAATGGGTGGGGCTGGCGGGGGAGTCCCAGCAGAACTGAGAAGGGGTCCAGGAGTTCTGAAGGGAAGACAGGGCTAGGATCCTAGCCGAGGCCTAAGGAATGTATGGGACCCTGCGCCTGACTGCCAGCGTTCACAGGCAGGGGAGAACTGGCCCTCGGAGCCCAGAGTACACTTCACCCACAGAGAGCCCAGCGCAGAGCTACCCTCTTCCCCGCCCTCCTCGCCTCCCGCTTTCCCTTTCTCCCTCCCAGGCTGCAGAAAAAGCAGGGGATTGGAAGGAAACCAAACCTGGGCTCATCCCCTTGAACAAGTCATTTGATGGCTCCAGGGCTCAGTTTCCTCTTCTGCAAGACACGGTTGGCCAGGGCACAATGGCTCATGCCTGTAATCACAGCACGTTGGGAGGCCGAGGCGGGTGGATCACTTGAGGCCAGTTCAAGACCAGCCTGCTGAGCAACACAGCGAGACCCCGTCTCTACAAAAAGTAGAAAAATTAGCTGGGTGTCGTGGTACACGCCTGTAGTCCCAGCTACTCGGGAGGCTGAGGCAGAAGGATCGCTTGAGTCGAAGAGTTTGAGGTTGCTGTGAGCTGTGATGATGCCCCTGTACTCTAGCTCACCCAGGCAACAGAGCGAGACCCTGTCTGAAAAAAAAAAAAGAACGCCGCTAAGAATGTCTACCATTGCACCCACATGGAGAAACAAACAGCTAAATCTCTGTCCAAAATTATTGATAGTAATAATAACAGCTACAATAGCCACAATGTTCTGTGTGCTCCTGGCACCAGGCCGACTATATTATTGTTATTCCATTGCTCAGTCCTCATACAGTTCTTTGTTGGGTAGGCACTAGTAGCGCCTCATTTTACAGATGAGGAAACTGAGGCACAGAGAAGTTAAGTAATCCACCCAGCAGCACACAGCTGTTGGTGGCCTATGGCTGCACTCCTAACCACTGCCCCACACTCCCTGGCACTGAGTGAGCGCTCAGTGAATGTTTCCTCCCTGGGCTCTGTGCCTTAGACTTGCTGCCTCCATCCGCCATCTGTCCATACAGCAGCTGGCGGGAGCTTCCTGTGACGCGGATCTAACCATGGTTCTCCCCTGCTTAAAGCCCTTCCATGACTCCCAGTGTTTTCAGGAAGAAGCCAGGATCTCAGCCAGCTTTCAGGAGCTGGGCTCTGCCACCCCACAGCCTCATCTCCTGCCGTCCCAGGCTCCCTGGCAGCACCAGCCAGAGTGAACCACCTCAAAGTGTCAACCAGCACACAGGCAAAAAAAAGAAAAGAAAAACAGAATGAACCACCTCTAGGCTCCCCAAAGTACTAGGCCCTCGCTCGTTTCCACACGTCTGAGTTGCTGTCCCTGGAACACCCTCCTCCTGAAATATGTGCTCCAAAGGTGCCCTCCTTCAAGCAGTCTTCGTGGGTTTCTTTCTCTGGGTTCTCAGAGCTCACTGTGCCAGCTTCTCCCGTGGCTGAGAAGGTCAAGAATATACTTCGATCATTTCTTCTGCACCCTCATCTATCACCCCGGGCCTGGAAGAGGTCAGGAGCTCAAACAGGTGTCTGAGGGCTCAGTGTGGAAACAGAATGCTGAAGGCCCTTCCCTAGAGCGCCCTGGGATGTTCCTGGGCACTGGGCTTGGCAGAACGCCCCAGGAGCTCGGAGCTCACCTGGGTCCTGGTGGCTTCGGTGAGAGCTGAGTACCCCTGAGGCCTGGGGTGTTTGTTGTTTGAGCCATGAACAGCCGTGTGCCAAGGGCCCAGAGCCCAGGGTCGGCTGGCTGAGCGAGCTAGGGGAGAGGCTGGTTGATCTCCCAGAGCCTAGCAGGCTTGTCAGGGCAAGGCAGGCTGGAGGTGGTGACTGAGCCTGGCATCTGTCACTGATCTCATTGAGCTGACTCCTGCAGGCACAAAGTCCTGCTGCCCCCAGTGACTAATGACCATACCTGGTCATTGGATATGTGGCATCTGGGGGTGGGATTGAGGGAGGAGGAGGAAAGGGAGAGAAACCACTAACCTAGGGTCATGTTAGCTCATTTGATTCTCTGATCCTCACTGTGAGAAGGCTGGGTACAGTCACCTGTTACACCATTGAGGCAATGAGGTTCAGAGAGATTGTATAAGCTGTTTAAGGTCACATAGGGTGTGGGGCCCGTATGAGAATTACACATTGGTCTGTATGAGAAACAGCATAGAACAGTGATTGCGATCTGGAGCCAAGTCCAAAGCCATATCTTTTGCACTGAAGCTGAATGACCTTGGACATGTGACTTCACCTCTCTGAGCTTCTGTTTCTTTACTTGCGCTAATAATGGCTCAGACTTAAGATGCACTCTATGTACGAGGCTCTGTTCTTTACCTGTATTAACTCATTTAATCTTCATGCCAATGCCACAAAACAGAAGCCCATTTTAGAGACGAGGAAACAGAGGCACAGAAAGACTAAGTTGCCCACAGTCTCACCCAGGCTGCAAATTCCATGCTCTTAACCCTGTGCTATAGCATGTCTGCAAAATGCAGCCTCGTTTATCCAACAGATATTTACTGAGCGCCTACTATAGGCCAGGCAGGGACTGTTCTGGAGGTATAGGAAGGAACTAGACAAACTCTCTGCCTCTAATGGTACCTAGAGTGGAGTGGGAGAGACAGAAAATAAGGAAGTACAGATATATTTCAGGTGGTAATAGGTGCAATAAAGAAAACAAAGCCACTAGGTAAGGGGATAGACAGCAACAAGGTGGGTGGTCAGGGAAGGCTTCCCAGAGGAGGTGACATGTGAGCTGAGAATTAAATGATATGAGGGAGTGAGCCACAGGAACATCAGGGGGTAAGAGTTTCTGGGGGAGGGCATCACATGTGCAAAGGCCCTGTGGCTGGAGTGGAGTGAGTCATTGGAAGGGAGGGGCAATAAGAGGAGTGGTTGCAGGGAGAGTGTCAGCTCACGTGGGCCTGGAAGGCTGTTGTAAGAGCTTTGAAGGTAACCATACCCTCCCCTCAACACACACACAGGTATTATTGAAAAGCGTATGCACGTGAAACCTAGAATATAGTAAGTGCTCAATAAAAAGTCTCTATAGTTCTTATTATAGTAAAATAAAAATAACAAAATTACCATTTTAAAGTGTACAATTCAGTGGCATTTGGTACATTCACAATGCTGTGCGATTATCTGGAACTATCTAGTTCTAGAATATTTTCATCACTCCAGAAGGAAACCCTGTGCCCATTCAGCAGTTACTCCCCATTTCCCCCTCGCTCTAAGTCCTGGTAGCCGCTAATCTGCGCTCTGTCTCTATGGATTTGCCTAGTCTGAATACAGTATTTCATAGACATGGAATCATACGCCGTGTGGCCTTTCGTGTCTGGCTTCTTTCCCTTAGCGTAACGTTCCAGATTCATCCCTGTTGTTGCATGAATCATACTCCATTCGTTTTTATGGCTGAATAATATTCCGTTGTATCCGTATACCACATTGTATTCGGTGGATGAACACGTGGGACGTTTGCACCTTGTGGCTGTCGGCAGTGAGGCTGCCGTGCACGTCCCCGCGCAAGTCTTCGTGTGGATACCTCTTCTCAGTATCCTGGGTAAATACCCGGGAGTAGAATTACTGGGTCATGTGGCAATCCTACAATCCTTTCGTTTGTTGAGAAGCTGCTAAACTTTTTCACAGCTGCCATTAATATTTTAATTGTTGTTATTCTTATAAGGCCTCTATTTCCCTGTAAGGGTCGCTCCCTGCCCTACCACCTCTGATGGCGCCTCCTCTCCCCTAAGGCCAGCAGGGCTGCGTTCCGTGACCTCGCCCCTCCCCGCCACAGCCCTGGCCAGCAGCTCACGGGATCCCCTCGTGCCGCAGGTGTTCGGGGACATGGACCAGGTGCGGATGACCTCCGAGGGCTCGGACTGCCGCTGCAAGTGCATCATGCGGCCGCTGAGCAAGGACGCCTGCAGCCGGGTGCGCAGCGGGCGGGCGCGGGTGGAGGACTTCTACACGGTGGAGACGGTGAGCTCGGGGGCCGACTGCCGCTGCTCCTGCACCGCGCCGCCCTCCTCGCTCAACCCCTGCGAGAACGAGTGGAAGATGGAGAAACTCAAAAGGCAGGCGCCGGAGCTCCTCAAGGTAGCCTTGGTGGGGAGGGGGTAAGTGAGTGGCTCTCCTGGCTGGCGCAGGGCCATCCTTCCAGGGTAAATAGCGCACGCTCTGGGCGGCAGGGGCTGTCACCGCCCCATTTCACAGATGAGGAAACCGAGGCCCCCTGAGGGAAAGCTTCTTGCCCAAGACCGTTCGGCCAGTAAGTGACGGAGGAAGGTTCTTTGGCTCGTTTACTCGGTGTGGCCCTCGCCTCCTATTCTAGTGTCTGTGTTTCGCCTAAACCAAGTCACCTATCAGCACCCATCTGTGTTTTAGATTTTGTGGCATTTTATTGTTGTTAATGTCATATTTCCTGTGTTCAGGCACTCCCCGCGTGCCAGATCCTGTGCTCCCTTTACACGTTATTTCTCCGAATCCTTAAGGCACGCTGTGAGATAGGGTTCCTTGTCCTCACTGTACCGGTGAGAAAACTGAGGCTGAGAGGAGTTAGGTAACTTGCCCAGGCTCACATAACAACGGGCAGCCTCGAGTCTATACCATACTTTTGTGAAAACTAGAAAAAGCCCAAGCTCCCATAGGAATATTAGGAAGAGGCGTCACTTCTGGGGGACACAGCCCCATGGCAGGGCCCACCAAGGTGGCTTGGTTAGGCAAGTGCAGGCTAGATCTCGGTCCCCACAGCCAGCCAGGCACCTTTTTGCCGTTGGTACTACGCTTATCTGGATGCTTGGTGGGCATGGTAGGCCTGGGATTTGAACCCAGGGCCTGCTATAGCCAAAGCATGTGTTGTTCTAAATCACCTTCCTTTTCTGTCTTCCTTTTTCTAAAGGACCAGATTATTTGGTGTCTTTTGAAAGTATCTTTTTCTTTTATAACTTCTTCCAAACCTGTGTCTGTTTTGCCTGTGTGGTACACTAAAAACTGTAAAAGGTCTAAGATGTCACCCTACTCGTAAGCTAACCTGTTAGCCTGCCAGTGTCATGGATGCTGGCGGAAGATACAGCCGCCTAGGTCAAAGACAAGGGACTTTATTACTCACAGCAAATCTACGGTTTCTGGCACTGGCTTTTCCAGCTCCAGTTCCCGTGGGGTGACGCAGTGAGGCCCAGACGACACCTGTACTCACAGTGGGGTGTGTTACAGAGAGGAGCCCCGAGCTTAGAGAATCCAAGCCTTTTATAACGGGCCCTGAGCGTGCCTGCGCTTTCGTCTGGAGGGAAGCACTGTCTCTGTCTTCCAGGGCTGCTCACTGCACAGTTAGATGGCTCAGGACAAACACAGTCAGTGCCTCTGCCTGTAAGACATACACAAAAACAAAAGACTCCTGAAGAATTATCTCCCAACATTTGGCTAAAAATGTTTTCCTTAAATTCAATTTTAGTTTTATTTTCGTTAATACCTGAATGGATGCCAGAACTCTCAAAATTGGGGACGGGGTGGGGGGTGAATTTTAGGCCAAGTGGCCTCTTGACTGCCTCTTAGCAGTCCCTGGACCACACTCTCCCTGGGGCCTCACTCGGCCCCTGCAGACTCCAGGCACCGAGGACATAAGCCAGTCTTCAGTTACAGGGACAAACCCGATTTTTGCTCAAGTCGACTCCCAATCGCTGGATTGCAAGCACACTTGACGTGAGGACACACAAAGCCCTTTCATAAGCGCTGGCCAATTCAATCCTTGCTACAGCCCTTACAGTGCCAGCTTTACTTGTGGGGGAATCTGAGGCCCAGAAAGGGGCTGTGACTTGCCTAGGATCACATAGCAGGAAAGTGGCATTGCTAAGATTTGAACCCAGGAATTCTCTGCCGCGTCCCCTTAGCCCACTGGAGGGATCAGTAGGCAACCTCTCAGCCAGGAGCCCACGTCCCTTAGGCCGTTTCAGTGCACAGTCACTATGGGGGTCTCGTTCAGCCTTACAGAACTGGAGTAGGGTGACGGTAGGATTGACTCGGCAGGTGGGGCAGGAGGAGGAGAGGATGCCCTGCCCCACTGGTTCCCCAGGGGCAGGAGTGGGTACCTGGAGGATACCCAGAGAGCCCTAAGAGGAGAGGGGCACAGAGGCTATGGGAGACAGGGCTGGGGCTTCTATTCAGTTTGGCTCCCCCTCCCTCAGCAGGAGGTTCCCAGTATGCATCCCCCAGGGGAGGAGGTGAAGGGAAGCCCATAGGGTGGGGCACCTGCCCTATAGCCCACCCCGTTCTGCCCAGCTCTCCCTCAAGCTGATAACTCCAGCTGTGGTTTGGCCTTAGCCTCGTGGCTCTGGTAAGAGAGCACACGTGGGCAGCCTGTTACTGCCCCAGCTTGGGTGAGCTGGCCGCAGGGTGTGCACCTCTCTCCTCTCCACTCCTCTGTCTTCTGGATGTGACCCCACCCTCCAGGAGTCCCCAGGCTTGGGAGGACACAGCTGCTGACCCCAGTCATGGCGGTATGATAAGGGCTGGACCGAGAGATGTCCCAGGGACCCTGGGAGCCCCAAGGAGGATAATGAGGGATGGCGCTGGGCCTGGAGGGATGTGTAGGAGTCCCTCAGGCAGGGAAGACAGGAGGGCATTCTGTGTGAGAGTGAGTGGGGTGGATACTTCGTGCCTTCTCTCTGCTCCGGCCCCCCTGGCCCCATCCCTTCCTCTGACACAGTACTTCTCAGGACGACCAGCTTTTTAAAAAATCAAAAGTCTGTCAAGGACTAACGCTGTCGTAAAATACTATACAAATGAATTATTAGAAAAATGAAATGACACAAAAGCAGACATGCAAAATATAAGTCCAATGTTTCATTACGAGAGTCAATAGGTAAAAAACTGCTCTGTCAAGTGGCTCTGAAAGTTCCTGAAAACCTACTCTCATTTTCTGTAGTCACCATGTCACAGACTGGCAATGAGCAGTTTGAACCAGCACTAACCCGCAGATCACGCTTTGATAGCCAGACTGGAACACACTGGGCTTCTTCTCCCCCGCAGCTCTGCGCACAGGCCGTACCCTTTGCTTAGACTGGCCCTTCCCAGACGCCTTCACTGAGTGAGTGCTCCGCGCTCCCCCTGCAGAGCGCTGCTCAAACAGAACGTCCTCCGACAGCTTTCCTAACCCACACCTGCTCACGGTCAAGGTCAGCGCCCCATCATTAATGACCTGGGCACCCGTGTGCCACTGTGTCCCCTGATCTTGGCACCTCTGTAGCACTGTCCCCTGATCTGGGCACCCATGTGTCACAGTCCCCTGATCTGGGCACTGTGTGTTACTGTCTGTGTACCCTGATCTAGGCACCCATGTGTCACAGTCCCCTGATCTGGGCACTGTGTGTTACTGTCTGTGTACCCTGATCTAGGCACCCATGTGTCGCTGCCTGTCCCCTGATCTGGGCATCTATATGTCACTCTCTGTATCCTTGATAGCCCACGAAGGATCACGATGGCCCACATTTGTCTTGCTCATCACTGTCTGTAGTGCCTGGCCAGAGTAAACATCTACTGAGCCCAAAGAGGAGGGCAGGGGCACGTCGCGAAGGGTTCAAATGCCAGGCTCAGGAGGTGAGAAGCCACATGCGGACAGTGGAGAGCCAAGAAAGTGTATCTAGCAAGGGAGAGACCCTTATCAAAGCCAATCTTGGTGGCCACGGAGGCAGCACAGTGAAGCTGGGAGCTCCCGCATAGGCCCGGGAACAGTAGTCATCGTCGCTGGCATTCACAGCGCCTTTGCTGTGCGTCTGTCCTGTGCTGAGCTCTGTCTGGATGTTGCCACTCCTCACCACGGCCCTGTTGCCCCGTTTCTCAGCAGAGGAAGCTGAGGCACAGCTTCCTCTGCTGAGAAATGTCTCTGGCCATGGTTTTCAAACTGTGCTCCACAGAGCCCTAAGGGCCCCGTGCAGCCCCTCAGGCCCAAAGTGAGGCTGCTGGGGAGCAGAGAAGGCACTGGGGCTACCCCTGCCTCTAGCAGAGACTCCCAGCCCTGTTTCTGCTTTAGAGATCAGATTCCGCTCAGAGAAAAGCTCCCTGGCTTAGAACAGTTTGAATACCCGCTGGGAGAGTCGGAGTAACACTGTTTTGGAAACAGCTGGCCAGGGCCAGACAGCAGCACCGGCCGCGCAGGCCTTGAGAAACTCTGCGGGGCTCAGAGTGGGGCCAGGCGGGAGGGGGGGCAGAGGAACTGCCCTTCCCGAGCAGCCAGGGAAAGGTGATTTCCCAACTGGCCCCTTGTGCCAATGTTTCCCTGACACTGTGGCATCTTGGCCATCTGCAGGGAGTGTCATATCCTGATGAGGTGTGACAGAGAGGAAGAGGGGAGGGCCAGCTGTGGGGCAGAGCCCTGGGCTGGGAAAGGGAGACCTGGCCTCTGCTCCAGGTCCTGCCGCTGACCTGTGGTGCAAGGCTGTCCTCCTCTCGTGGCCTCTGTTTCCCATCTGAAGGCAGGACAGGAGCAGGAGAGCATGAAAGGAAAGAGGTTTGTGTTTATACAAATCTGGGTGCTCCTCCTGGCGCCACCGTTTAACAGCTGGGCAGCCTTGGGCAAGTCATCTCCAAGTTGCAGCTTCTCAGTCTGGAAAATGAAGACAGAAGTTGTCCATACCTATGTTAGGTGGAGTCACTAGAAGCAGGCCCTGAAGCCAGTGATCTGTAGGCGAGTGATTTACTACGAAGCACTCCCAGAGAACCTGGGGTTGACGTGGGAGAGGAGGACGCCCCGCAAGGGTGTGGTCTCAGGCACAGTGCCAGCCTCAGCCTCACGCTCAGGGGAGCTCTGGAGTGGGAAGGACGGCTCGGTTCGTCCCCACTGGAACTAGGGAGCCGGACTGTTAGATGCCCACACCAGCCAGTCAAAGCTGCTCTTTGACAAGAGTCCCAGATACAGGCACGGAAACAGAACGAGGGATCCCTGGGAACCTGGACAAGCTCCTCCAGGGGACACTACACACTTCATGGGGTTATAACAACAAGGATTAAGTGATGTAACTCATTAAGGCCCTAGCACAGTGCCTGGCACGTGGTGAGGGCCCAAAAGATGGAATCTGCTGCTTTTCTTGTGGTTATTAGCCAGCCGGGGCCGGGGAGCACCAAGGGCCCGCGCAGACCAGTCCGGGCTCTGGGGCTCTGGAGTTCTTAATTGCAGTGAGACCCCTTTGGCACCCGCCGTGCCTGGCCGCGCGCTGCGCCCCGTGCCTAACACTCCCCCTGCCCGGGCAGCTGCAGTCCATGGTGGATCTCCTGGAGGGCACCCTGTACAGCATGGACCTGATGAAAGTGCACGCCTATGTCCACAAGGTGGCCTCGCAGATGAACACGCTGGAAGAGGTAAGGGGGGTTCCCGCCAGAGGCAGGCTGGGACAGTGCTGGGCCCGACGGGGCTTAGGCAATTCTGGCTTGACCTTGGTAGCCATGGGAAGCTGGACTCCAGCAGGGAGTTTGGGGAGGGAGGTGCAGGCCGCAGGGTCCAGCTTTGGGGGAAGAGGTCACTGGGGCTCAGGGGCCCGCAGGAAGCTGGAAGGCTGGGTGGAGAACCCGAGGCACCTGCTGGCTTTATGAAAGGGGTGGCGGGGGAAGCTGGGACTTGTAGTTGCTCTCAGTGTACCAAGATCAGGGCCCGCACATCGCACAACTCTGGGGGCACCATTCACATAAGATACCATGTCAGTGCTGCCGGCTGGGTTGGCGCAACATGGCAGGACTGGCCAACCCCACTGAAGCTGGGCTTGGGCAGCGAGACTGTCCCAGTACCCAGCTGAAATGGAGACAAAGGTGCTGAGTGTCCTGTCCTGGTCAGGGTGAAAGTGCTATAGGGCTGGGCAGGTGGCTGAGACTGCTCCTTGGGAACAAGGGCAGAGTTGGGCGAGCGTGGGGGTCCAGGCTGCAGGTTCAGTGTTTGCATCTCCGCTGGCACAGCCTGGCCTCCGCCTGTTTCCTGCATCCAACCTCTGCTGGGCTTCTGGGAGTCTAGGGACATGCAGCTGCCAGGAGTGGGTGTGGGGGCTTCCTTTCCTGGCTTCCTTTACAGAAGGAGGGGGCATCTGGGCATCCTGTGCCCCAGGGTGGGAGATTAACCCCTTACTAACACAAAGGTTGGGGTCACAGTGGCTTTAAGTATTCAAAAAGTGTTTGGCGAGTACCTACTATAGGCCAAGCCCACGCCAGCATGGGAGGAAGCTGACATTTATTGAATTTCATCTGTGCGCCAGTATTTCCTGTGTACTTACTTAGTACGTGCCAGGCTCTCCTGTTGCTGGCTCTGAAGTTATCCTCCTTTGATCTTTCCTCTTGTAATATCAGGAAATATTAACCCGCTTCACATAACTCCGAGCCAGACAATCTGGAGGGTACGTCTCCTGGGCCTGGAACAAATCAGAAAAGATTCCCACAGCCACAGAGAAATGATTTTTTAATTATCATCTGTTTTGCATTATCTGTGCTTTGCCTCTGTTAACCATGGTTTACTGAGTGATAACCCTAGGGAAAAAGAAAAAAAAGCTTTCTGCTCACCCTGGGAGGAGGAGCAAACAGCCTCATTCAAAAGCCAGCCCCCTCCGCCAAAGGGAAGAACCTCTAGGGGTCGGGCAGTAATTGGGGTCCCCGCTGCACGCTGCTCTTCCCTTATGCCAGTGGTCCTTAAGCACAGTGGTTTTGTCCCCCAGGGGACAGTTGCCAATAGCTGGAGACATTTTTGGTTGTCACAATTTAGGCAGGGGACACGGTGGATGCTACTGGCTTCTACTGGGTCAAGGCCAGAGATGCCGCTGAACACCCTACAGTGCACAGGACTGTCCCCAACAACTATCTGGCAAATGTCAATAGGGTCACACCTGTAACCCTAGCGCTCTGGGAGGCCGAGGTGGGAGGATTGGTTGAGTTCAGGAGTTCGAGACCAACCTGAGCAAGAGCAAGACCCTGTCTCTAAAAAAATAGAAATAAATAAATAAATAAAGACTGGATCTCACTGTGTTGCCCAGGCTGGTCTCCAACTCTTGGCCTTGAGTGATCCTCTCGCCTTGGCCTCCCGAAGTGCTGAGATTACAGGTGTGAGCCACTGCACCTGGCCTCTGATTTACCTCTTTTTAATTTAGTACCATGAATACATATTATCTATTTTTCATTCCTTCACATTTTAAATTTACAAAGTTGATGACAACAGGGTCTCTTCGAGCATGCTTTGCTCCACCCATGCTCACTGGTGCCACCTCGTCCACACCCGGCCTGCTCAGGGGACCTGGCAGCAAAGCCTGATGGCTGACGCTGGGGTGTCCCTCTGGTCTGGGGGTTTAGAAGAAGCTGGCCTGGGAAAGACCTAGAATCCCACCCCCACAGAGCATCAAGGCCAACCTGAGCCGGGAGAACGAGGTGGTGAAGGAGAGCATGCGCCACCTCAGCGAGCAGCTGAGGCACTACGAGAACCACTCGGCCATCATGATGAGCATTAAGAAGGAGCTGTCCAGTCTGGGCCTCCAGCTGCTGCAGAAGGATGCGGCCGCCCCTGCCGCCGCCCCAGCCACCGGCCCTGGTAGCAAGGCTCAGGTGAGGGTTCTGATCACAGGCCGGGTGGTGGCTGGGCTTGGGAGCACAGTGTGCCGGGACCTAGGCCCTGACAGCCAGCTCAGTGGGGGTTTGGGGCCATAGGACAGGGCTGAGGGCTGGCAGGGTCGGGGGCAGAGGTGCCTGCTGTGCAGCAAGCACAGCCAGCACAGGTGAGCTGGGGCAGACGTGGGGATCCAGCGGAGGGGGCTGGTCCCTAAGCCAGGTGTTTGGTAATGTTCTCATTCCCAAGTTTCCAAACTAGTGGGGACAAGTTTGTGAAGATGACACTCCCTGCCTGGTCCTGAGAGACCAGGTCAGCTGCAGTAAAATTGCTTCTAGCCTCTCCTGCTGTGGCTGGGTCGGGCCTGCTTGCGGGTAGGTGAGCAATGCCTCGAGGTCCTCAGTCATCCATCCCAACCTGGAGTGGAGAATTCCTGCACCAAACACCCAGACATTCTGTCTTCAAGCTCAGAGCACAGAGTGAGCAGAGGCATTGGCTTGGTCACTAAGCAGAGCCACCCATGACAGCTAACACATCTTTGTGCACATTTAGTAATGGTCCTGCCTTTAGGCAGACACATTCCAAAAATGGCTGTCCATCTAAGCACGTAAATTAGAATGAAGAGCTACCTTTGGGTGAACGCGTTGCACAAAGGCTCCTTCCTATGCGGACGCATACTAGGGTGTGTGGCTTGGTGAACGGAGCACAGACTAGACTGCAACCCCATTGTTTCTTGGTCAGTGGCAGAAAAAGGGAGCTGACATTTGTGGAAGTCCTACTCAAACCTGACTTTCTCACAGACATCAGTTAATTTCATAACCACCCAGGAGGAGGGATGACCTCTGCCCATTTAGCAGACAAGGACACATGGAGAGGTCATGTGGAGAGGGGGTGGCTGAGCTAGGACTGGCAGCTTGGTCTGCGTGACGGCCAAGCCCGCCCTCTTCCTCTCTTCCTCTCTACCTCTCAGCCTCCTGTTCCTGTGTTGACATTGTGATAATGGGGCCATGCGTGTCTGCATCTGGGACCGCCTAGATACCGATAATGCGTGGAGGAAGCCTATGCCCTGGGCCAGAGCTGGCTTCCTGCTCACTCTGGTGAGCAGGCGAGAATGCACCCCGTTTTGGCAGTGGCACAGAAGGCTTCTAGCTAGATACTGTACTTGTCGTATCTGCCCGAGCTTCTGCCTAACAATGGGTGATCTCAAAGGCCCTATGTTCTTGTGCCAAGCCAGCATCAGAGGCATTTAAATAGGAAGTGAAAATAACAAAACTCACAAAATGTTAGAAACTGCATGTCCTAGAAGTAGGGTGACCAGCTGTCTCAGTTTGCCTGGGACTGAAGGGTTTCCCAGGATGCAGCTAATTTAGTGCTAAAACTAGGAAAGTTCCAGGCACACTAAGATGAGTTAGTCACTCTGCCTAAACGCCCAAGAACCTTTCCCCTGCTACCCACACACTAAGACTAGTGAGCGAGAGAGACAAGGCTAGGAAGCCACCTCTCCAGGGAGCTGAATGTTCTAGTTAACCCCCTGGGGAGGAGTGGGCAGGGGCTGGGAGATGGGTCAGGAATCCAACCCACCAGGTTGGGCTCCAAGCCTGCAAGGGAGCTAGAGAGCTGAGTGGGGAAACCGAGGCAAACCCGTCATGAATGCAGCCACTGTGGGAGGATATGGAAAGCTGTGACTTCCTGTGCACCTGGGATGTGGGTCCTGAGCAACATGACCACGTCTAGCCCCTGCATGCTGAGCCCATGACCCGTCACAACATGCTGAGCCCCATGACCCCTTCTACTGTCCCTCCAGTGTGAGACTTCCCTTTCCCCCAGGACACAGCTGGAGAGAAAGGCAAGGGCACCAACAAATACGGCATCGTACAGAAGAGCTTCGTAGACAGGGGCCTCCCGAAACCTCCTAAGGAGAAGCTGCTGAAGGTGGAGAAGCTAAGGAAGGACAGCAGCAAGAGCAGAGTCCTCCAGCCCACAGCCAAGCCCCGGGCCCTGGCCCAGCAGCAGGCTGTGATCCGGGGCTTCACCTACTACAAGGCAGGCGGGCAGGAGGTGACGCAGGCAGTGGCTGGTGAGTTGGAGAGGGGTGAGAACCTTGCGGGTGGGGCTTGCTGACGGATCACGCCTCCCAGGGATCCCCTCCTCTCCTCCGCAGTCAGACTACCCAGACTGCAGCCCCACCATTGATCACCCACTGGGTGCCTTTGCCCATCCACACACAAGGACGGTGACACCCCGCTCATGAGGTTATAGGGAGTGAAATGGTTGAACCAACAAGAAGGGCTCAGTTTCTTCCCAGCATTTAAAGCAGTCTTGACCTTCGTTGGACTTTTCATTGTTCATTCATGGATTTGCTGAAGGCCCACTATGCGCCAGGTGACAGGGAACGATGTGAATATGGTCCCTGTCCCCACAGAGCTCACAGTCCAGTGGGAAAAGCATACATATGACCACGCAGCTGCCACAGGTGCGGTTGGGAGGACACGGGGCTCTGGGAAGTGACACGGGGCCTCTTGGGCACCTCTCCTTTCCACCCTGGCCTCTCCAGCCCCTCCCACTTCTATATCCCCAAGGAGGAGCCCACAGACTCTTGTGTTTTTCCTGCAGCTCCCTGCTGGATCATAGGGAAGGGTAACAAAGTGATTAACCAGGAAATAAGAGACAAAAGTTCCCAGATACCCCAAATTTCTGAGCCTCACAACCCTTTAGTTGTGGCTCCTGAATCCCCCTAAGACCCTCCCCAGAAGCCTGCTCTTCTCTGATGTCCCTGCAGGGTGTCCCAGACCTACTCCTCCCCTTGCTGGGTCCCACTGACCACCTCCTCTGGTGAGGCCCTCTGCCCCGCCCACGTGCAAGGGGGCTGGGAGGTGGAACAGGCAGGGACCAGGCTCCTTCAAGAACCCCCCTGTTTCTTGGCCTCTCAGGGATCAGGGACCTCTTCCCCCAGCCCCTGGCACCGGCTGCTGGCCCCAGCCCTGCCAGCTCAGCCTGGCCACAGCACAGAGCCTCTGACCCCTGGCTGGGGCACTGCCCAAGAACAGCTGCAGGCATCTGACTCCGCCAGTGAGGCCTGTGGGAACAAGCGCCCTGCCCTGGCAGGCTGCCGAGGCCAGGCCCCACAGTGGCTTCCCTTGCCCAGAGGGACTGTCCTCGTCTGGGCTAGGGCCCAGGCTCCCAGGGCTGCCCTACAGCAGGGCCCGGCTAAACCCCCATGCAAAGAGGAAGACCAGCAGGGAGAAAAAAGGAAGAAGTCAGGTCATTGTCCTCAAGTCAAGGGGTCTCTGAGCCCCTCCCCTGGCTGACCAGGCAGTCCCTTGGGGCCAGGCCATCATGGTAACAACAGTACCATTCTTTTGTCCCTGATGTCACAGTTTTCTGAATCCTTTCACACAGGCCACTGCATTTGATCCTGGCAGCAACTGCACTTTCCAGGGGAGAGGAATAGGAGAAAGTCTGTAAAATGGGAGCAAGAGTTTCTTCCTTCTGGAATTGAACCTAGGAAATGAAAGAACGCGTACAAAGTGTGTGAGGCTTAGGAAGGGAAGGGATCTCACATTTGACACCTCATACTTGCCAGGACCTGTGCAAGTGTTGTATGTACGTTTCCCGCTGAGCAACGCCACGGCCTGCCATGGGCCTCATTGCTCCCGTTCTCAGGGGTGGAAGTGAGCCCAGCGAGGCAGGGGACTTGGATGGGGCCACCCAGCTGGGGAGGGGTAGAGCTGGGCTTGGCACTCTGATAGTGAGGCTGCCTTTCACTTCCCTGGGGGGTGGGGAGCACCCTGAGGGAGCCCCTTCCCCTGACTCCCCCAGGGCTCCAGAGCTGCTAAGAACCCAGTGGGTCTTGGAGGAGACCCAGGCAGCACAGGGTCTTCTCTCTGCAGACAACGCCCTCAAGGGCACTTCCTGGCTGGAGCAAGTACCGCCCAAGGTGGAGGGCAGGCCACCCGAGCCCAACTCTGCGGAGCAGGATGAGGCCGGGCCCAGGTCCTCAGAGGGAGAAGCCTTGGCCCCCAGCACCACCACCTCAGACCCTGCCTCCACCACCACCACCGCCCCGACTCCCACCACCAGTCCCCTGCCCACCGAGCCACCTTCACGCCCAGAAGTCCCGAGCCCAGGTGAGTAGCCCCACATGCCCGTGGCCAAATCCAGCCCATGGCCTGTCTCGTACAGCCCTCAAGCTAAGAATGGTTTTTACGTTTTTAAACGGTTGTTAGAAAAAACAAAGAAGAGACTAAGGAATAGAAGTATGTGTTCTACAGAGCCGCAGACGTTTCCTATCTGAAAAACATTTTCCTACAGAAAAACATTGCCAACATTTAAAGTGCTTACATAGATCCTCTTGTCGTTCGTAAGCGGGATGATTGGGTTTTCACGCGCATGCGCGAGATGTGCCTCCCAGAGTCCTTGTTACAACGTTGGCACATTACCCGTCTCGTGAAAAAAAAAATTTAAAAAAAGTGCATATAAGACAGGTAGTATTGTTAACAAGCTCTTCTTAAAATGTCACTTAGCATCCCATCATCAAATCTAGCAACTGTTTTCATTTCTTTATTTCCTCTCTCAGTCTTTGGCCTTGTTTTTATCTCCGAATTTACACTTTTGACTTGGGTCTCCTGGTAGAAATCTTCCTCATAAACCATCCATCCCATTCTTGAGCGCATCTCAGCTGTCTGTGGTGACAAGCCTTCAAACACCATTCCTTGCTCTCGTCCAAGTGCATTCCTCTTCTAGGAATCTTTCCTGAAGCGTCCGCCAGCGACGTGGACGACAGCTGCCACTTGAGCGGTCGCTTCACAGCACTGTTTCTAATGTCAGGAAACTGGAAATAGCCGGAACAGCTGACACGGGAGGACTGGTTAAATCAATGCGAGGGCACAGCTGCCCGGTGGCCTGGTAGAACCTTGAAATCACATCATTAAAAGGCTATTTAATGATGTGAGAAATTTCTCAGTGGAGGGAAAAAACAGGATACGTAAAACTGTATATTCATAAGAGTCACAGTTTTTTAAAGTATGTCTACGTGACTGTCCATGCAAAGAAAAAAAGAAAAGGAAGGAAATATGACAGGTTTAGAATTTTATTTGGATAATGGAACTTTTTTAGGTTTTTATTTTATTTATTCTTTTAGGGTTTACATTTTTTTATTTTTTTAATCGACAAATAAAAATTTTATGTATTTATGGTGTACAACATGATGTTTCAATATATGTATACGTTGTGAAATGGATCAATCAAGCTAATTAGCGCTTGATTACCTCACATACATTTTTTGTGGTGAGAACACAAAATCTACTCTCTTAGCAGTTTTCAAGTATGCAGTATATCAAACTTGCTCTTCCTGTCTAACTGAAATTTTGAATCCTTCGACTAGCATCTCCCCAGGCCCCTCACCTCCTGGCAACCACCACTCTATTCTCTGCTTCAAGGATTTCAACTTTTTTAGATCCCCCAGATAACGGATAATGGAATTTCAATGCTTTCTGTAATGATCAGGCACTGCTTTCTGTGAGGAAAGCGGGGAAAGGCCATAAACAATATCAGAAGGGATTTAAGTTAGATCCAAATAACATCCCACGGACCGTTGCTCTGGCTCACGGCTGGCGGGGTCTATGCGCCAGAGTGGGACCCCAGAGCTGTGCCTCTTGCTCCCCACAGGCAGGGAGGTGAGCTGCGAGGGCACCCTCAGGGCCGTGGACCCCCCCGTGAGGCACCACAGCTACGGGCGCCACGAGGGGGCCTGGATGAAGGACCCTGCTGCCCGGGACGACAGGATCTACGTCACCAACTACTACTATGGAAACAGCCTGGTGGAGTTCCGCAACCTGGAGAACTTCAAGCAAGGTCAGAGACCCCCGACATGAGAAGGGGGCAGGGTGTGGGCAGCCTGGGCAGGGTCCCCCATGGAGCCTTGGCCTTCCTTTGCCTGTGGTTTCCTGTGCTGCAGCCTGGCCTGGCCCCAGAGTGGCAGCCACCCCAAGGAGGGGAGACTGAGGGCACTGGGCTGGGGCCCAGCCAGATCCTGTGGCACCCCGTGTGCTGGCACCAGGAATGGGAATGCAGCGGCAAACGAGAAGGACGTGGTCCTGCCCTCACAATGTAATTTACCATCGTGGGGAACAATCCTGAGTTTCTGCGTGCTGAGTGCCTACTACGTGCCAGTCGCCCTGTGGCTATCAGCTCATGCTATCTTCCCAACTCCACGGGGCGGGGGTTGTCACCTGTTTTACAGGTCAGCAGGGCCGCAGGCCTTAGAGGAGCTACAGGTCTGTGCAGAGGCCAGGTTGGAGCTGTCAGCACAGGGAAGGGCAGAATTTTGGTTATCAGATCTCGGGCATGATGAGGGAAGGGGTCATTTAGACTTGGCCTGCCCTCCAACATGCACAGTCTGGTGTGGGAGGCAAAAGCTTAAAGAGACAATTTTAGGCCAGTGGTAGAGGGAACCCAGCTTCGAGATCAGGGAAGACTTCTCAGAGGAGGTGATACTGAACTGAGCTCTGGAAGAAGGGTCAGAGTAAGCCCGCAGAAGGGAGAGGGAAGTGTGTTCCAGGCAGAAGGCCCAGCATGTGCGAAGGCTTGGCAGTGACAGGAAGCATGGTGGCATGGGGCAGTGAGGGTGCGAGTGGGCTGGGGCAGGCTTTGTGAGCCACACGAAGGAGTTTGGACTTGCCCCGAGAGCCGTGGAATCCCAGAGTATGGCCTGGAACAACTCATGCCCTTCACTGCCAGCTCAAAGCTGGCCTGCTTTCTGCCTCAAGCGGCTCACGGGCTGGTGGAGGAAGGCAGTGATAAGTGTCAAGACAGAAGGCTGACAAGGCCAGAGGAGAGGCCCGTCACTCAGCCTGGGGAGGGCAGGGAAGGCTTCCTGGAGGAGGCGACATTGGCTGAGGGCTCTGAAAGACAAGCAGGCATTCCCCAGGCAGATCGACGGGGATGCCAGTCCAGACAGAAGGAACAGCAGGGGCAAAGCCCGGGGCTGACATCACCCTGTGGCCAAATCCTAGCTGTGCCATTCCAAGGTCACCTAGCTGGGTGACCATGAACCCTCAGGGCCTGTTTCCTCATAGGCAAATGGAAAGAAGATCGTACTTCCTTCAGGGGACTCTTGTGATGTAATGAGGGGATCGGCCCAGCTCCAGGCACAGCATGTGCTTGGTATCAGTGGCTTTCTTTGCCACTCTAGAGCGCTGGGTGGCCTCACAGTATGTGGGGTGGGTTGTTCTGGAGGCTCTGGTGTGACCACCCCTCCGCCTGCAGGCCGCTGGAGTAACATGTACAAGCTGCCGTACAACTGGATCGGCACGGGCCACGTGGTGTACCAGGGCGCCTTCTACTACAACCGCGCCTTCACCAAGAACATCATCAAGTACGACCTGCGGCAGCGCTTCGTGGCCTCCTGGGCACTGCTGCCCGACGTGGTGTACGAGGACACGACACCCTGGAAATGGCGCGGTCACTCAGACATCGACTTCGCTGTGGATGAGAGCGGCCTGTGGGTCATCTACCCTGCCGTGGATGACCGTGACGAGGCCCAGCCCGAGGTGATCGTGCTGAGCCGCCTGGACCCAGGCGACCTCTCCACACACCGAGAAACCACGTGGAAGACACGGCTGCGGCGGAACTCCTACGGGAACTGCTTCCTGGTGTGCGGCATCCTGTACGCCGTGGACACGTACAACCAGCGCGAAGGCCAGGTGGCCTACGCCTTCGACACGCACACGGGCACCGACGCTCGCCCCCAGCTGCCCTTCCTCAACGAGCACGCCTACACCACCCAGATCGACTACAACCCCAAGGAGCGGGTGCTCTATGCCTGGGACAACGGCCACCAGCTCACCTACGCCCTGCACTTCGTGGTCTGAGCGGGGACCTGTGCTCACGGGAGGGGCAGCAGTGGGGAAGCGGCTCCCCATGGCAACTCGTGCAGCCCACCCAACCGGGGAATATTTACTGGGGCCAGCCCAGGCTCGGGGATACGCGTGAGGCGGTAACCAGGATCGCACTTCCTCCGCACCCAGTGGGTAGCACTCGCTTCCACCCGCAGAGCACCGCGCCCAGCGCTGTACATGCACTTAGGACCCGTTTAATTCTCCCAGCACTGCCCTTGGAGAGAGGTCGCGAAGCCCGTTCAACAGATGAGGAATCTGAGGCTCAGAGAGGCAGCGTCACTTGCCTAATGCCTCAGCTGGGCTCTGGCAGGACGAGGAGACGTGTCCACGCTCTCCCCCTTCCAGCCCTCTCCCCTCTGCCCCCTCCCCTCGTTCCCTTAGCTCTGTCTCCCTTCCCAGGGCCACTCCAGACCAGAGGCCTCTGGGGCCAATGCGCCAGTGTTGCGTGGAGGCCCCGGCTCTGCCTGCCACCCAGGCCCCTGTCTGGCACAGCTATCGGTGCCCCTGAGCTTCGGGCCCCTTGGCCAATGTCCCCGCTTCTTGCCTTTGGCCAGCGCCCCTATCCCACCCCACCCGCCATCAGGCCACATTCCAAACCTGCACCGTCACCTAGCCCCTGAGCAGAAACCACACCCGGAGAGAAAATCCTGGCCCCTGTTCCAAGGCCCCCTCCCTCTGTCCTCATTTTCATTCTCTCTTATTCTTCATCAGTGCCGTCATCTGTTTCTGCAGCAGCGGCTGAGAAGGCGGCAGGCAGCTGTCTGCCAGCAGCAGCTGCACCAGGGTGGGGAGCTGAGCCGAGCCTCCCTCTCCATCCAGAAGCACTGGCACTGGCCACACACCCAGGCCTTGGGTCCCCTTGTTCCCTCCCAAAGCCTTTGGGCCTGGGGGTCCACCTTGTCCTCTCTCTCTGGGCCTTCAAACCCACGGCCTATACACACTCAGGGATACCTCCACGTCTGCCATGAACAAGACCGCAGGCCACGGCTGGGTGGTACCAGGATGGAGCAGGTTCCCTCTTCCTTGTTAGTCCTGACCTGGTCTTTTGTGGGGCTGGGGTAGACAGAGGGTCTGAACAGTCAGGTCCAGGGAAGCACTGGGCCTTCTGGTTGCAGGCAAGAGCCAGAGAGTGGAAGCAGGGAGGGGAGGCCTGGAGGTCTGAGAATAGGCTTTTCCTGGCTTCAGCGGTGTTGGGGCAGCCCAGGACCTGGAGGAGAGGATTGCAGGTGGCCACCTCACCTGGGGCTGCTGATTGCTCCCCGGAGCCTCAGACCCAGGCAGCCCAGAGGACAAGATAGTCCATCCTACCCCTGATCTGCTTTCTGTGATATTTTTAGAGCTGGAAAGAAGTTCTCTAGCCCACTTCCTGTTTCACCAAAGGGAAGATAGACCCAGAAAGGTTTAGAGGGCAGCCTCGAGTCACACTGGGAACCCGGCACAGCTGATCTCCTTCCAGAGGGTTTTGTCTGTATCCCTTATTGTCCCAGCGTGGGAAGGCACCCAAACCATCCTACGCTTGGGAAGAGCACTTACTGCTGATCCCTACACAGCCCTGCATCCTGCTGCCCTCCTCTTGCCCCCACGCCAGCTCCCAGGATAGCTGTATATTTGAATACCCGGTTGCCATGTTAGGGAATTCAGCTGCACAGACAAGGGTATGAGGAAATGCATTTCGTGCAGAATACATTTCTGTCAGGCATCGTCAGGTGATGTTGTTTTGTCGAAGGCATAACTCACCCCGGAAATAAAGGGGAATGGCGACACCCAGGCCTGACTCATGGTGGTGGACACATCCAGCTTCCCCAGCCGCCGACTGCACGGGCTTCACGTGCAGACGCGTCAGGGGGCTGCGAGGCCTGGCGTTTCCCTCGGCCCTGGGTGTGGGTTTACGAGATTGTGTCTTTCATGATATCATAGCCCAACCATGTGAGAAGAAAGGGAAGGCCCCTTTTCTTCACTAGTTGGAGAAAAGGGAAAGCTACAATAGGCTGATTTTTAAAAACTAAAGGACAAGCAGCACTGCATTCTGGGGGGATGATGCTGGCCACGGCCCCCAAACATTCACTAGGGCCCATCTGTTTTCGGGCTCTTGTACATGGGTTATGTGGTAGGTACAGTTATTTTCCTCATTTTTATACAATGGTCACACTGGAGCCCAGAACAGTTAAGTCACTTGTCTCATAGGCAGTTTAGTGGTGAGCCAGGTTTCAAAATCAGGTACTAAAACCATCAGCATTAACTGAGCACTGACAGCATGTCCCACGCATATCTTCTTGCATCTTCATGACAGTGGAGGGTATGTATCCTGAATGTGCCCATTTTACAGATGAGGACACTGAGGAGAAGGGACTTACCCAGGCTCACGTAGCAGCTCAGTGGCAGGGTTGGGGTTCCAGGGCTGGTCAATGCATGTTCTTTGCCAACAGCCGCCTCTCAGTGGCAGCTCTAGACTTGGTGGCCACTGCTTTTGTCCGTTGTGGCCAGGCCACAAACTGCATCCCCATAGAAGCCCCAAGAAGACGACTGGGGCCAGCTTGTGCAAAGCCTAAATGCCAAGCCTAGGAGTGGCCACCTCTAGTCATTTTTAAAACAAAGTCGAGTATAAATTAAGAGAGAAAAGAAAATTCTAAGACAGTTGGATTTTGTCCTGTTGGTGATGAGAGGCAGGGAAGGTCTGTCGGGGAACTGGAGCCAGCTCTACAGGAAACCCGACCCCTCCGAACTTTGGGGGATTTTTACCTATCTTGGGCTTTATTACATTTGGCAAAAGGTACTTCAAACAAGGAAGGGCCGGGACTGAGGAGGGAGGGCCAGTGTTCCTCACCGACCGCGGCTGTGAAGGCAGAGGAAGCTGTCTCTGGTGTTTCTGACAACGTGATACATGAAGGGGCTTTGGCTGCCACCTCTGATTCCTCCCTAGAGATTTCCAGTCCTTAAATGTAATCTGCGCTCTCCGGGGAGGAAAGGAGGGAGCCTCTGCCTTGGGAGCAACAGTAACGGTGAGGCCGGGGTATTTTCCTGGGAATGATTTGCGGGGCTCCTGTGCAAGCCCACGTGTTCCAAAGCATCTTGTCCTCTGCGACAGCATTGGAAACCACTGTGGTGGCAGAGGGACGCGGTGCTGGGTGGCTGCCAGAGAGCCCTGGATGGGAGTTCAGGAGCCCTGGGTTGGAATCCAGCCCCACCTCTTGATGCTTCTCACTTGGGCAAGTTCAGGGCTTTAACGCCCCCCAGGGCTAAAGACACATAGCTCAGTGGGGACAAGGGCAGCGGAGGCCCAGGCAGCTCCCACCTAGAGATTGAGACACCTTTACACACGTTACCACGAATCCACCCAGGAACCCCCAAGGTTGGCATTATTTTTCCCCATTACAGGTGATGAACCTCAAGTTCAGAGAGGTTAAGCAACCTGCTCAGGGTCATGTCTCTTAACAAGTAGCAGAGTCAAGATTTGAACCAGGTCTGTTTTTATACCAAAGCCCCAAACTAACTATTGTTAGGAATCCTGTAACTAGTGCTTTCTTTTTTGTTTTGGCCGCTGGGAAGCTCGGAGTCAAACTTTGAGATCCTTTTTAACAACTGTACAGAGTCTCCTACTGGACTTGCTTCATCCTAGCTTTCTGCTTTTACCTTTACCCTGATCTCTTTATTTTTATTCTATTGTACTTTATCTATTTTTGTAAGTTGCCATGATACCTTTTTTGCAACAAGGTGGGATATACCTAAATAAAGACGTGATCAAAAGTTTGGTTTAAAAGTGTTGACTAAATGCTGTGGTCCGTATCCTTCTCACAACACATACATGTAATAACTTTTAAAAACTATTTAGTTTGTTACAAGAACTGGCCGTGTTGCAGCACTGTGGCTGGAAACTAATCTGAACGATGGGCTATGCTGAGTCCAGTGCAGGCTGAAAACTGGACCCCGCTGGGAGGAGGAGAAAAGCGAGCCCTTCCCAAAGGTGTTCAGACAGCACCCTCCGCCCCTCGCCGCCGCCTCGCGCTGGCCACAGAGACAGAACTGCTGTGTGCACTCGCTCCCGAGGCAGAATGTGGGGCTGAGGGAGAGGTCAGAAAAAAAAGAAGTGCCTTCCTGGGAAAAAGAGAGTATCATGGAATTGGGGAGGGGGCCTTGGACATCACTTAATCCCATGTACCCCAAACTCCTGTCGCTCACACTCCCTCTTCCTGATTCTTTTGCTTTTCCCCTTACCACCTGCAGGGTGGCTTACTATTCCTCTTTCAGATGAGTCCATTCTTTTTACTAAAATAATTTTTTTTTTTTTTATTTTTGAGGGTGTCCCAGGACTGGCATCCCGGTTGCCAGTGGGCTGGCAAGTCCCCCATAAAATAATTTTATTTCAAAAGGAAGCTTTATAAGCTATTGGCAAAACAAAACAAAAAACCTTTAAAAAAATTTTTTTAAGGAGGAAGCTTTATATTACAATAGTAGAAAGGAAGCCAGTGTCAATGACCACAAATATGCAATGAGCACGAACCGGGACACGACGCAGAAAACATGTGGCACTATCGCATCTGGCAGGGAACGTGTCTGCGGGGCCCGGGCCCAGCTGCCCTTTGTTAAAAAAGAAGATTAGCAAGTGTTCAAGGGACATAAGGGTAAAGTGGCAGCAAGTGGACATTGTTCTTGATGTAATCAGAGAGAAGGGATGGAAAGGGAATGGCCCTCTCCCATGTGACTCAGTGGCCCTTCACACAGTGGCTTAGGTACCACCAAGGAGCTGTCTCAAACAACTGGCGGGTGGACTCAGATTTAGACCAACTCCCCCCCACACACATACACAGACCCCCACGGACACGCTCACTCAGCCGGGCCTTCCCTCCCGGCCTCTCCCAGCTGCAGGCCAGCTTCAGCAGAGTGCCTGCCTCGCCTGGGAGCTGGGCCCTGTCCCTGTAGCCCCTGGCAGGGACAGCGGTCCTGCTCCCCACAGGACAGAAGCACAGTGCCACTCC